AATACATCTATTGATCATACTAATCATAAAAGAGTGACTAGGTCCATATACCATCCCCAATTTGGTCTACCATCCCCAATTTGGACCAAATATATCTACTGATACTCCTTGATGCCAGAAGTGTAGGAGATCTATCGGTGTAAGAGATAAAAATCATTATACTAGATCTAGTAAATTAACATTGTCACTCTTGATATACCTTGAATAATTATGTCTTGGAGACGTTCGTCTAGATGACGAAAAACCCTAGTCAATTTATAGGTGCACCAAACGAACATAATACTAGGGATGCGGGACAACCAGATGTGATCTGAATAAAGTTCTGGGAAATGTTTAGAATCTGGTTGACTTGAATATTGCCATAAGCTATTATAAATGGGAGAGATTTATGAAAGTATTATAGTTGTCGACAACACAATAGCATGTACAAATTGCTCCATTATATGATAATCTGGATCCAGAGTTATGCACCCGAAGTGTCATGACTATTTAACGTATAAAGGAGCAATTAAGGCATAGCTCGACTCGCTAATTATTAATAATTCTCTTTATAACAATACACCGTTAAGAGTTAACCCCGAAGGTTACAAGTGGGTGTGTGCACGAAAGAGAAGTAAGAATAATGAGGTGATATGATATAAAGCGAGTTTGTAGTCTTATGGGTTCACGCAGATACCCTTGATTGATTTTAATCAAACATATTTTCCCACGATAAATGGCAATAAGTTCCGCTACATCATTGGCAGAATAATAAATTAGATATGCAACTAATATTAAATTCAAAAGTTCCCGAAGGATTTTAAGTTCTCAAAATGAGAAAAAGTGAAAACCGCACATTAAAATATTAAGGTCTTTATAGGACCTGAAATAGTTAATATTTATTTTGAGAAATCCCTGATGGATTTATAATTCCCGAAATGAGAATTTAAGTGTCATTATATTTACTCTTTAAAGGGTTGCGAATGGAGTTAATATCCTCATTGAAGGAATAATATGTACCATTGTGTGCTCGATAAAGGGTTGATAATGAACTTATTTATTATTTATTATCTAAGTTAATATTGATGGTGGAAAACATCAATAAAATATATAAAGGGCTTGATGATGTCAGCCCATATCTAAAGGCGCAGTTTTTTGAAACAAAAGTTTGGGAAAGCTAAGTATTATTTCGACTTGAAGATCGAGTTTTTCTTTGAAGAAATTTTTATACACCAGTTAGCCAATATATGATTTTGATTGGATACTTAGTCAAACCAATATACAGTGGGCTACTTGGGTACTGGCTATTATTTTTGTATCCCCATAATGCCAAGTCCCAAAACTGGCTGTACTATATTTACCCCCATTGTCCCATAAAGGGTCAATAAAGATTGTGTTGCACAAATGATAAAAGGATATATAATGAAATCCTTTTGACTAGATATTATGATATCAATATTATACCACGTGAACTCCAGAAGAGTCACGAGATTATTATAGAGTATATTTATTCAATTGACAATTGTATATATTTATTTACAAAATTTCTCTATACAGTTTGGAAATTTAATGTATGAGAATTAAAGATTGTTATCTTGAGGGGGAGTATCATTTTACATGAATCAATCCTGAAGATTGAGTCTTAGATGACTAACGGCTGTACTCTTTTCCTTAGTTAAGTTTTTTTTTTCCCACGCGGGGTTTTTCTTTAAATCTAAGGTTTTTAATGAGGCAGCTAATCTAAAACAAGAATAAACATACATCATGCACTCTTTTCCTCAACTAATTTTTCCCACTGGGTTTTCTAGTGAGGTTTTTAACGAGGCATGAGTATGATATAGTAACATAAATGGGAAAAAGTTGCAAAATAATTGCTTAAGTAGACAAATTCCCAAATCCTGAAGATTACGACGATTATGCCTTGAAGGCTTATGATTGTACTCTTTTTCCCTTTAACTAAGTTTTTCCCACAGGGTTTTCTTAAGTTAAGGTTTTTAATGAGGCAATCAGTACAAAATATGTTCTTACAAATATCATGTACTCTTTTCTTCAACTAGGTTTTTCCCACGTGGTTTTCCTAGTGAAGTTTTTAACGAGGCATGAATACATACATTTATACTCTTTTGTCTAGGTTTTTCCCACAGGGTTTTCCTAGCAAATTTTTACAAGGCAGGATCATGTCAAATAATGTCCAAGGGGGAGTGTTATAAATATTATTATTATTATGGACATTATTGTATATATGGTAGTAATTGTAATTGATAGGTTACTACCTTTTATATGTATTGTAATTACTTTATATTTGGTGATACCTTTGTATAAGAATTCTAACGATGAATGAGAAATCTTTGGACCTTACCTCTCCATTCTCTGTATCCCTTCTTCCTGTTTTCATATGATTATATAACAAAGAAGGATTTTTTGTATTGGCAACAAGAAAAATAATAGGAGTTACAATATACTCTCTATTTCTCTCTACTAGCACTTTCTATGCTAAACTACCAAGAAAGGATACAAGATCAGGAGAGATGGGATGATACAAAATGGCAAATCAACTCCCTATTTATAGTAGAAGGATTAGGGGTTGTTATGTAGATAGCCAAAAGTCTAGGGACTAAATTGCAAATGTTTATGTCAACAATTGTGGCTGCCCATCCAACTTCTTTGTTGAATTTGGGTTGCTGCTATCACGATAGTTCCCATGCTCTCATGTATTCCCATGTTAACCTACTGAAACACAAAGAACCAATAACGCCTCCACTAAGGCTCGAACTCATAATCTTCCAAATGGAAGTCTAACCCGGATACCATTAGACCACATAGTCCTGGTCCCCATGTTTGACTTTAATTACTTACAAACTTCAACTTCTTCAGTCTTGAAGGATACATATATTATTTGAGTATATTATTTTGTATAATGTATATTCAATACACAAATAATGTACTTTTAGTATATTAAAAATGTACTTTTTTTATGGTCCACATAGTACTTTGTGGACCATGGTCCACATAAAAATTTGTGTGGCAAAAATAAGTACTTAATTCATTTTTACATAACAAACAACCAATTTATGTCATTAAGTGAAATGAAGTGTAAATGTATGTATTAGCTTCACTACATTAAAAGAAATATATGAGGCATTGGGGAACTTCTTAATTGCAAGATTAGCAATGTTGTCTGGGGCATATCTACAAAGAGACAGGTGAAAATTTATTAGATAGCCAAAAGTCTTGACAATCATGCATATATGATTAAAAAAATTTCTGCAACATATTCAATTAGCACACCTATTTGCAATTAATTAAACTCATATTCTCATATCATCATCATCGATCTCATATAGGTACCGGATGATAAACTTGCCTGCACGCTACATACAGCCACAATGAATCCTTTGTTTCAACACCATCTATTAGCATCTAACTATTTTTTTTGAGCTATCCATTGCCTTGATGAGAATGCTATATATATATATATATATATATATATATATATATATATATATATATATATAGGCTTTGGATCTGGTGCACCCCCTCTAATAGATGGGCCCATGAGGCCTAATAATACCCATTGATTAGATTCTCATCTATGGTTGAGATTAAAAGAAATATTTTCAGTTATTATCTATGGTAAGGTTAGATTAGTAATTTGGTTAGTTGATTTAATTAATGAATTAATTTAAAAGGAATATGAATCATCTTTTGATGCTTTTGAGGATGGAAATTAATAGATTCTATTAATAAAAAGATTAGATAACATATTTAACATGAACAAGCTGGTGATAGTAGGAGCAGCAAGTTAGGACTAATTAATGCACCTGATCCAAAATCTATATATATATATATATATATATATATATATATATATATTCACAAAACCGGGTATTATCATATGTACTGCATCTTTCTATTATCTGGGAATGAGCAAGTTATGCTTGATGCCCTGCAAATGAGAAACATTTGGCTGTGAAAGAATATCGATCTTTTGAATGAGAAACCAGAAAACTAGTCATGTTTTATAATAAATCAGATAGTATGTTGCAATATGCATGTTTATGCATATATATGTACCATTTTTCAAACATGACAGCATGCAGTAAATTCACTGCGAGCTTGATCAAGTCGTCTTCTACATGTAGATATGCTGATTCCTAATATTCAAGCCTGATGATTTTAATCTATGAAAAAATAAGACAACGAAATAAGATCAGAGAAAGAAATAGTAAAGGCTTTTATAATGAAAGTAAAAAAGTAAGAATGAATTGAAGCATAATATATAGCTTCTAACCTTAAACATTCTTCATTCTTCGTAATGGATACAATGTAACCCGTATCAAATCTGCTTGGCAGCAGTGACAACGGAAGGGGCGATACTTTTCCATCTGTAATGTAAATCATATATATAATATATATCTCCATCTGTAATGTAAATCATGCACCCTACTCCTACTTTATCTGCAGTAAGTTGGCACCTATAAATTTGCACATATATGACACACAACTATCACATGAAATTCCTAGCTTTATGAAAATTCACATCTCATCTTTGATTATTTTTAAAATAATATCAGTAATATTATGTATACCGTACCCTCGCCTTTACTTCTTGATTTTAATTTGTTCTACCAAAAATTCAGATGTTTTGTTTTATTGAACATCATTCCTTTTTAACAGCACGAGTCCTTCCTGTATGTAACAGATCCCCACATTCATCTTAACAAATTAAAAGAAAGAAATTTCAGTACATTTTTCTTCAAGTTTGCTGGAAAACTTTTTCAATTTTATTTGCTTCGACAAATTTCATAGAATAGAATTGTGACAATCTTTTCCTATACTCCTCTCCACTCTATTTACAAGGAAAAAATAATAATTGCAAGGTAGATATGATCATCATCACAAAATTAAACCTTTAACTGCATTGTAGTAAACCATTTACCACTACCATTTAAGTGGTTTAGTTAACCCTCAAATTTAATTTGCATTATAAAAGTGGTTAGTTTGCATTTTTTGTTTTTGGATAGTCTGCAATAGCATCTTACATTCATAGTAACAAGTTTGTAAAGAAAGTTAGCATCCATATAGAATGGAAAAGAAATAGTACAGTTGAGAATGGATCATACGCTGTAGCTTCTAACCTCAAAAATGCAGTTTCCCATTTCAACTTGCCAGTACTGAATCTGCTTAGCAAAAGCAACAAGCTAGGGGAAGGCCGGGCCACACTAATCCAACATAATTGACTGCAGGTTCAAATTTTCTGTTAAACACCAAGGGAACTTTACAAACAATAACATCTCAAAACTAACAACTCGAGACATGGGAAATCACCATCGCTTAGCTTGCGCAATGCTCAAGTTTATTAGCTTCAAGAAGCTAGCAAGAATCTTAGTCCATAGAATTCTCCTTTAGCTACTTCACATACTTTATTACAGAAGGCATTCTCCAAGTCACTTGTAAAACTTCTCAAACTCTACTAACTACCTGTTTATAGTGAAAAGAATGCATCAAACACATCATCATCACAAAAACAAAGTTGTTAGCTAGCAACTGTATGTAGAGGTGTAACTTTTGTAGGATAATTTCATACTGTGATTCTAAACTTCTCCATTTTCTATTTCGTACTGTTAGTTGTTGGCAAATTCAATGTTTCATTCATTTATCCTAACAGAAATAGTAATTAGTAGTTCAATAGCTGTGAAGTTCTTCTTTTGCATGTGCTGCAACCTCTGCTCTTTGAAGAATACAAATTTTTTGCACATAAGAAATGCACAAACAGAAATTTATTTAGACTGTTATATAATATTCAGTACTTTATATAATTCTCTTTTTAGATCAACTAAAACAGAAATTTATTTAAGACTTTTTATTTTTTATTATAATCTGACTTTTAAATCATATAACTAAATTTACCTTTCAAAATATCGTTTTTCTTAGATTTTTTGGCCGTCGCCGACATGGGCATGACGATGAGTAAAAGTAAAAGAAGGATGGCTATTCTTTTTTCCATGGACATGGCAAATCTTGCGATTATTAATGGTAGCGTTACAAGAACTTTGGATGTGCATTTCTTATGTTGTTATTTTTTATTTACATCTGCATGTTCTGAATTTACAAAAGCATTTTCAAGAATACAGTAAAGAAATGGTAAACAAAATCACCTGAAGACTGACTACTGGATCACTGTAAAATCTGCAGGTTTCTTAATTCCATTAATGAGGAATCATTAAATCTTAACCAATCTAATGAATTTATTTTTTGTATATGCAACTATATGTACTGTATTTGGCATGAAAATAAAAATATAGGAGCAATTTAAGACACATGTAACCTAACACATACCGTTTTCCAATAGTTATTTACTATGGGGCTGGCTGGCCAAGTCATCTTACATAGACAATTATGTATGTGTACTCTGTGAGTCATCATATTCGGGGGCCAAGGATTTTGATCTGTGAAAAATAATGCACAAAAACAAATGAGATCAGAAAAAAGAAAGTCAGCATTGAATAAAAAAGAAATAAAAAGAAACATGATTTAGCTTCTAACCTTAACATCCTCGAATCTTCTCTTCTGTTGTAAGTGTTTGGCAAAACCGACAAGGGAAGACTTACACCCCTCCAACTCAATTGACTTCAGGATCTTAAAACCAATTGGGATCCGTTCCAAACAATTACAGGATCTTAAGACTAAGTGTCTGAGCATCCGAAAGTGCGTCTGGCCAACTACCCACTGCTTGAGTTCTTTAGCTTCCAGGAGCAAGAATATTAGTACAGGAAATCCTCCTTTAGATATTGAGTTCCATACTGTTCCATGGAAGGCATTTTCCAACTTGAGCACCTTAAGTTGGGGTAACTTAGCAATTACATTTAAATCCCGCTGAGAAATATTAGTTCCACTCAACTTCAACTTTTCCAGTCTTGAAGGATACATACACTGTTTTGGAAGGGCTGCATTGCAACCAATGGAAACCGAAATGCTAAGCTTCTTAAGCCCTTTCAAACAGTTAAAATGATCCAAAATAATAGGATTGCTGCAACATCCTCTAACGTGACTGGGCTCTATGTCATCCTTCAAGAAAATTTTCAGATTTTTTATGTTAGGGAACTTTCTGTACACCTTTTGTCTGCAATGAATTGGTTTCATTGCCCAAGATAATGTTTGTAAATTCTTTATATCAGCACTTGGAGGATCTACCATATATGAATTGCCAAGTTCAAGATGCCTTAAGTTTGGTGGCTTCCAAATACTAGACGACAAATGGACTGTTGGTGCTCCATCACCGGAAACAACAAGTGTCTCTAAATTTGGATTATTTGACACTACATGATCCAAATCCTCAAACCATTGTGTTATGGATAGGTATCTCAGAAAAACTAAACCTCCTAATTGCACTCTTTGAAGTGATATAGAAGTATCAAAAGCCAAAACTCTTAACAGCTTCGGAGGAACAAACATTTTAGTACTTTCAAGAAAGAAGAAAATGGAGCGAGGGATGTTCTTACCAAAGAGCACATAATAGTCAAAACTGTGTGAGTAAGCACTTAGCCAACGACAGGAATTTGTAAATGCTTTTAATGATAATCCTGAATGTTGCTGAGTATTTACTGCACATAAAATACCTCCTTTTTGAGCTTCTCCTACGCAGAAGCTATGTAAGGCACTGTGCATTCTACAAGTCTTTATTATGCCATTACAACTTCGATCTTCAATTAAGAGAAGACTTCTATCATTAAGCTCTTGTAAGTACTCATAAGCTTCATCTTCTAACTCCTTATGTTTCAAAGGCTTCACAAATCCCTCGGCAATCCACAACCTTATAAGCATTTTAACCAGAATTTTTTTACGTTTTGGGAAGACTCCAAAGTATAGAAAGCCAACTTTCAAATGATGTGGCAACATATTGTAACTAACACTGAGTGCATTGCGATCTAGAAGTCCCAATGACTCTAATTCCTTTTCAATCTTTTTCCACCCTTGTTGTATGTTGTTGCATTTAGATAAACGCTTGGCAACTTCAACAATTAACTGGGGTAATCCATCACATTTCTCCACAACATGGTTCCTAATTTTTTCAAATTTAGGGGCCAAGTGCTCTTCATCAATAGAAAGGATATTACAAAATAGTTCCCAGCTTTCTTTAGGATCTAGCAAAGTCATCTTATGGGTATGGGCATATAGGTTGAAGTAGTGTCTAGTGGTTAGTAATATGTAACTTCCAACTAATCCATTAGAAATAACACACCTTCTGATGTCAGTCCAAGCTTTCTCCCAAGTTTGCTTGCTCATAATGTTGTCCAAAACAATTAGATACTTCTTACCAGCAAAGCATTTGCGTACCTGCATTTCTAGTTCGTGAGGAGTGCTTCCCTTTTTAATTACATTTGGCTCTTCTACTGGTGTAATTGACTGAAGAAGTTGGCTTAGCATTCTGCTCCTATTGTAGTGTTGAGGAGGAGGCATAGTAACCCAAGCTCTTACATCGAAATAGGATGCGACTGATGGATCTTCATACACATTTCTTGCTACAGTCGTCTTTCCAATACCCACCATTCCAACAATTGAGATTATACCTGGTTTGACAAAACCGGGCCAAAAGAGTAGGTCCTTTATGACTCTACAATCATTGTGACGGCCAACCATTTTGCCCTTAGGCTTTAGAAAGCCATGCGAGGTGGATCCATCAGATTCAACATTCGCAGCGCTAGCATGTTTTAACCAAGTATTTGATGGTTGAGTTTGATTTGCCTCATCAACTTCATTGCTGCTTCTACTTTTGATTATGTTCAACAACTCTTGTACGCTTTCTGCTGCTTCTTGCAACATGTGATGGAGTTTCTGTGAAGCTTTTTCTTGATGTCCGGTGTGTTTGGCTATAAGGAAGTCTGTTACTTGTATTTGGAAGTCATCTTCAGTTTTGAGTGCGAAGTTTCTGATTTTGGTTCCCAATTTTTTTATTGCAGCACCAGAATTTTTGGAATTCCTCTCCTGCAATAAGCAGCCTAGCAGGGTAGAAAGGTCGTCTGAGAATTTTACCATTGTTATTGCTATTTTATCAGAACCACGCACCGTTGGGAAGTGTTGCTCTAAGTAATACTCAATTTTGTTGATGAGAATAGTTAAAGCATGACTATGACTACCCATTTTTGATGACTCCAAGAGCTGCTCTGTTGCATATTTTGCAGCTTCTTGCAAAGTTTGATAGAGGAGGAGTTCATAGTAAGCTGCAAACTCTTCTCCATACTCTCCTCGGAAATGGATGAAGTAGCTAAGTTGTAGTTCAATGTCGTCTTCAGTTCTGAGTGCAAACTCTCTGATTTCCATTTCGAAATCTCTGACTTTGATTGCATCATCTTCATCATCACCATCACCAAGGGATTCCTCCTGGTGATAGACCAGATGGGCTTGCAAATGAGAAAGATTTTGAAGGAAAGACTTGATTCTTGCAAGATCGCGGAGAGACGGGCTTACCCTTGGTGTTTGCCCAAGAAACTGAATCTCAATGGTTTTAATGAGAGAAGTTAAAGCAACAAAAGCCATCTATCTCTCAATTCCAATCTTCAATTTAATTTGCTGGATGGTAAGAATATGTATGATCTGATCTGATCTGATCGAGAAGAGCTAATTAGCTTGCTGCCATATATGTTTTTATATATTGTAATTTTATTAATAGCTAAAGATGAGAGAAACTTCTAAAGTTTATTATTAATAATCTAAAATTAAAGTGCGTGATTGAGGACATGAATGCATTATTATATTTCTCCTCTCATCTTTTTTCAAACTTTCATTATAATCTTCTGTCCTTCCCACCATGCTTTATTTTTCGTCTTCCTGCCCTGCCCTACGCATTACTTCCATATCAACCTCATGACTAAACAATTGCTTTCCTATTATACATTAATTAATATATAGGAAAAATGTACAAATAAGTCACTTAATTATTTGGAAAGTAACGATTAAGCCATCCAATTCAAATAAGATGTGCTCCAAATAAATCTACAAACCCAAAAAAATGTTGCAATTAACATTTTAAACAAGTAACTTGCCATTTATGCTTACTAGGATTGTCAGATTGAATTTTTTTTTAAAGTTTTTTTTTTTTTTTTCACTCAAATTTGCTTCATTAACCATGATCCGTGAGACGGTACGGTCCATTGAAGTTTTTGCAATAATAATAATAATAATAATAATAATAATAATAATAATAATAATAATAATAATAATAATAATAATAATATTGAGAGATGATGAGAAGATAGATGAGATATTGATTATAGCGTGATTTTTTTATTAATTATTTTTTTTTGTATGATATCTCCTTATTAATTTTGTTGAGTTTAGCCTATATGTGTGTTAATTAATAAACAAAAAAAGAGTACTACGGAGTACGCTTTTTTAAAACATTATTGAAATGTCATAAGGCCATCCCAATAGGGGGATTTTGCACAGATTTTAAGAAAAAATGATGTGTTAGAGGAGAGAGGGGAGAGGAGAGAGATGGATAGGGTTGTTATGTTATTTAGGGAATTTTGTAAGAGTTTTGGGGGTTTTGGGGAGTTTTTTTTTTAGTTTTTGATTTTGTTTTTTATTTTTCCTTTTCACCCATTTCTCTTTCCTAATCATACCTACAAAATCTCCTCAAAATCCTATCACTAATAGTCAACTTCATATTTGAATGGTAAATTAAATGATACAAACAAGTAACTCCAAATTTATTTTATTACTAGTTTTTTACGCGCATTGCACGATTGGGATAATGCCCAATGTTTTTTTTTTTTTTAAATAAGTATTTTAAAGTATATCAAGACAAGATTATATTGGACTTGTTCATGCATAAATAATTGAATGTTGAATTTGCGTATTTAAATAGGTAATTCTAAGTTTACAAATGTAAGATAATATAGTCAAGATTGATTATAATTGTCAATAAAATAATTGTATAGGTATGTTTGAAACCAAATACGGGACATAAGGGAGAGCAAATAAAAATTAGGGCATAAAATATTACATATATACTAATACTGAATACCTAACTGCTGATTACCAAACAAGGACATTGCGAGGTAGTTTCCCACTTCAATTTGTTGTGTGATTTGAATACTCTTTTGTTAATAAATCTCCCAAGTAGTTAATATGATTGGCTTAATTATATTTTTTTTTTATTTTTTAAAACAATTATTATTATTATTATTATTATTATTATTATTATTATTATTATTATTATTATTATTATTATTATTATTATTATTATTATTATTATTATTATTATTAAATATATGTATAACCTTATGTCATTTTACATGTTAATATAAAGAGCTAATTTTTTCAAATATCTTTTTACCAACCATTGATATAATTCGTTGGTCAAATCCGCTAACGCTAACCACTAACTGCTGATTGTCAAACAAGGACATCGCGAGTTAGTTCTCACTTCAATTTGTTGTGTGATTTGAATACTCTCTATGTCAACAATCTCTCAAGTAGTTAATATGGTTGGCTTTATTAATTATATATATTTTTTTTAATTTTTCGTGGTATTAATAAAATACTTGGTAAATAAATATATAACATTATTTTGTATTATAACTTTGATATTTAATTAAAAAATAGTGCACAAAAAAAGATAATAGACAATGTAGTGAATATAATCAATTGATGAATTTAAATGTAAATAATCAATTGATGAATTTGAATGTAAAAATTTGTTTATATTGGAGAAAAATAAAGACAATATAACTAATGAAATTATTTCTCTTATTTCATTTATTGATAATGAATAATTTTTTTTGAATAAAGACATTGTAGACACATAATTGTAAATTAAAGAAATGCATATTTATTATTTTTGTTGCAGCTACTAAATTATTATATTAATTTAATAAGAGTAAAATAGAGTACTAATTATGCCAACATTCATTGGGATGTGGTCCGAACTTAAGACCTTTCTTATTGAAATCAATGAGTAAGTTAACGGTGAACTAACAGAAATTAACGGAAAATATAATATTTAACGGAAAAGTTAACGAATAATCATATTCATTAAGGATAAATTAGTAAATCTTAAGGAAAAATTAAAATCTGATCAAGCTGGTCAAATCCGCTAACGCTAATAACCACTAACGGCTGATTGTCAAACAAGAACATCGCGAGTTAGTTCTTACTTCAATTTGTTGTGTGATTTGAATACTCTCTTTGTCAACAATCTCTCAAGTAGTTAATATGGTTGGCTTTATTAATTATATATATTTTTTTTTAATTTTTCGTGGTATTAATAAAATACTTGGTAAATAAATATATAACATTCAAAAAAAAAATATATAACATTATTTTGTATTATAACTTTGATATTTAATTAAAAAATAGTGCACAAAAAAAGATAATAGACAATGTAGTGAATATAATCAATTGATGAATTTAAATGTAAATAATTTTTACATTTGAGAAAAATAAAGACAACATAACTAATAAAATTATTTCTCTTAATAGTGATAATATAATGAATATTTTTTTTTAATAAAGACATTGTAGGGATAATATAGCGAATATAATCAATTGATAAATTTGAATGTAAAAATTTATTTATATTGGAGAAAAATAAAGACAATATAACTAATGAAATTATTTCTCTTATTCATTTATTGATAATGAATAATTTTTTTTTGAATAAAGACATTGTAGACACATAATTGTAAATTAAAGAAATGCATATGTATTATTTTTGTTGTAGCTACTAAATTATTATATTATTATAATTTAATAAGAGTAAAATAGAGTACTAATTATGTCAACTTTGATTGGGATGTGGTTCGAACTTAAGACCTTTCTTATTGAAATCAATGAGTAAATTAACGGTGAACTAACAGAAATTAACGGAAAAGATAATATTTAACGGAAAAGTTAACGGATAATCATATTCATTAAGGATAAATTAGTAAATCTTAAGGAAAAATTAAAATTTGATCAATCTTAGCCATTCATTTGATTAAAAAAATTTGACCGCCATTTTTTCTACCCATTATAGGCCTAACTCTCTTAGGCTCTTATTAGTATAGTAGATAGTAGATATTATTACTAACAACTTCAAATTGGTAATTTGTATTGATAGCATCATCAACCAAAGGGAATGCATTATTCACATTTTTAATGTAAGTATGGTTCAATATGGCCAACTTGTAACATTTTCTAAGAGTTAATGCTATATGAGGTCCTCCGAACATAATGATTTTGCCACGTTTATTCCTAAACTTTCAGATTGACCACGCGCGATTCTTTGACTTTTAAATTATTACCATCTATGATCCAAGTTAACCATCCATGATCCTTCAAGTTTTAAAATTTAACCAGCTGAATGTGGTCCTCCTGGAAGAACCATGGTTGGTTTAATTATCTTATATATGAGAGTTTAAATGGCATGGGATATCACTACGTACTGCTCAATAGTGCTTATGGATCAAAAATATAATTTTTTTCAAAATATTAATTATCACATAAATTCTTTTAATGGTATGACATCTTCTTTTCATTTGTGGTGGGGATAGCCAATATTAATGTTCTACAAAATTTTAAAACTTCATTGAAAATGTCATAAAAATATTCAATAGGATGTAACTTTAGACCATATATATATTGCTCACTAGTTTAAAAAAGTTATTGAAAATATTATCAAAACCTACCTTTATATTCGAATGGCAAATGAGACATCCAAACAACTCCAAATATGTTTTTATAATATTACTAACAACCCTAAATTTGTACTATGTATTGGCATCATCATCAACTTGTAAAATAAAAAAAATTTAAAAGTCTACAAATGGTTTCAACTTGTAGGACAAGGGAAACGATGTCAACAAATAATAAAGAGAAAAACTCTCAAGAACCAAATTAATTCAGAAGGATTTTTTTTTTTTTTTTTTTTCTTTTTTATTGTATTCAGAATTGGAACAAACTAAGTGTTGGAAAAAAAATAGTAAAAATGGTATTGTAAGTGGCTATTTTGTGGTACAAATATATGTAGGGTTTACTTCCGCTATGTGTCGCATCAAAGTGGGTTTAGGTTCTTCGTAGTGAGACGAAGAGATCGATACATTGTACGCTCAAAACGGATAATGGGTGAATGAGAAATTGATTCTCAAAGTATACGCATTTGAGTTAGAAAATAGAGGTGGAAAGTCTTGTAAAACAACACTTGTCCCACATTGGAAAAAGAAGGGGATTTGCACCAATATATATACAAGAGCCTTTTAGAAATTTAAATTGTATAATATAGAGTCTCTCTCGCGCGCAAGGGGTGTAAATCAAATCCCAAAATTAGCCTAAATTATAAATATTAAGAAGAGTAAATTTCAATTTTGGTCCAATGACTATTGGGGTATATTAAGAAGAGTAAATTTCAATTTTGGTCCAATGACGACTATTGGGGTCTTAACTAAGAAGAGTAAATTTCAATTTTGGTCCAATGACTATTAGGGTCTTGTTAATTGCAATCCACGACTTTTAAAACTGTTAATTTGGTACCTTATGATAGGATATATACCTCGGGT